TTGTTCTAGAAACTTCAATATGTACAAAATTGTTAGTCAAGGACTGCAACTCTAGAGAGGGGGTGAATAGAGTTGTTGAGAATGATTACCGATTTTCGCAGGATTAATAATATAAACGCAAGTGCAGCGGAAATAAAAGAGAGAAGGAAAAGAACACATCGATGTATACTGGTTCACCACCTCGTGGCTACTCCAGTTCCCTGAGAGACCCTCTCGAAGCTACCACTACTTCCGTTAAGCTTACAGGTGCTTAACAAACCGTTTACAACTCGAGAACTTGAATCCCACAAGCCTCGACACAACCGCTCGTAGATATGCCCTCTACATGACTTTACACTCAAGACTTAAGTCACATAAGTCTTGTACACCAAGAAGAACACTCTTCTGTAACCTCTCAACAATAGCTTTCAAAAGAGTATGAATGAGAAAAAGTTTAGCTCTAATGGATGACAAGAAACCTCTATTGAAAACAAATAGTTTTTTTCTCAAAATAATATAAATTTGAGGAATGATTGATGGAGGATTAACACCTCAAGAATGGGGAGTATTGGAGTGTTTCTTGTTATAAAAAATGACCAAGGAAGGGTGTTTAAATAGGAGGTGAAGAAATACATCCGTTGTTCCAAGAAAAGAAGTTGTGATGAAAAATGGAGCATAATAATCGATTAATGCATCATCATAATCGATTAGTGCATCACCATAATCGATTAATGCAGCTGAAAAAATCGATTAAATTCGTCTGAGCAAAATTCCTTCAGCAGACGAAATGATAATCAATTTTTGCCAAAGCGTAAAAAGCGATTTTTGAAGCAATTGTGCCCAAACATAAAGTACACAATCATGTGTGCAAGGTGAAGTGTTATTTTGGATTTAAGCACTTGTTTAGAGCATGAAAATCATATCAAAGGGCTCCCCAATCAACATACATAATTCAAATTCAAAATTTGAATTATGAGAATATTTTTGGTGTAGAAAATGAGTTCCAAAAATATTTTGTGTGTCAAACGATGCACACGAAAGTGTTTGAATACAATATTTTTGCTTTCCAAAAATATTTACTAATATCAAAATAAATATTTTGATAAATATTTTACACACCTTTTGTAACTGACTCAATGAATGTATTTTGAACAGTTAAAAGAATTTTTCAACTGACTCCAAAAATATATTATTTTTATATTAACTCTCATAAAAATAATTTTGGAGAGAAGATATTTTGGTCATCCTTACAATTATTCCTAAGACTCAAATAAATAAAAAAAGGTCTTCGGAAATCTTCTACTCCTCCGAGTCCTCCGTTAGGCACTCCGAACGTGTCTCAGACTCCAATAAAATTCTGTGCACCTTCATGAATACTTCAAGGAATTTGAACTTCAAGTCTCCGTGTTTGTCGTTGTAGTACTTTGATACTGACTTGAATAGATTGTGTTTGTCAATTATCAAAACTTGTGAGTCAACACTTAACAACACAGAAAGGGTTGAACTCATGCATTCCAACAACAATTTCCTTAATTGCCTTCCAACTGAGTGAGTCATATGCTTTCTTAATATCTAGTTTAAGCATACACTTGAGAGATATCCCGTTACTATTATATCCTCTTGCAATCTTCTGACAGATTAGAATATTATGCAGCAGTTCTCTTCCTTGAACAAAGGTAGGCACCTCGATTCAAGTTCACAATATGTGGGAGAATATTCTTAAGCCTAGAACAAATCAATTTAGATGTTATTTTATAGACCACAGTGAAGCATGCAATGGGCCTATAATCAGGTGGAGTACTTGCGGATTGTCCACCTTTGGAATCACTATAAGACTTGTGGCATTAATCTATTTGAAAGTTTTTCCTATTGTGAACAAGTCTAAGATAGATCCAGTATTCTATTGTGCCTGAAAGAAACTATTGTTAAATCCATGTGGACCTGGATCTTAGAGCTAGGAATGCTGAATAAAGCTTCCTCGGGGGCTGAAGCACTTAATAAGCTTCATTTGTTGCTCAATATTCACCAATTCACCATTCTCAATGTCTTTTTTTATTATCTATGTCAACAGTATGTATTGAATGACCAAGTAAACCAGTGTAGTATTTAACCAGCTCATTAGCTACCCCTTAGTTCCTTCAACTCTAGTCCCATTCTCATTTTGAATTGTCATAATGTAATTTTGAACTTTTCTTTTCCTCATCCAGACATAGAATACTCTAGAGTCTTGATCCCCCTCAGTAACCCATATTTGTTTGGCTTGTTGTAGTTTCAGAGCATTAGATGCTCTTATCTTATTATGGAGGTCCATAAGCAACCTTTTCTCTCTTTAATATTTGTATCTTATTTTGTTATAATAATATAACCCTTACTCTATAGTTTGTTACTCCTTCTGTCCCAAATTATTATGTTTGTTCACTATTCACAGGGTCAAACTTCATTCACTTTCTTTCTCTATTTTCGTTAGCAATTTGATAAAATAAAGCATTATTGTCACTACTAGTTTTGTAAATCTTTTGATGTACTATTTTAATATGTAATTTTTATTTTTTAACTACATACCATTTGTCATATAAAATGATTTGAAAATAATTTCAATCAAACATCGTAAACCGAAACATGCGTTATAAAATAGGACGGAGGGAGTATAATAATAAAATTATAATTCTTTTATATTTTATAGAATTTTTATGTAATTTTTAATTATGCAAACTTTAACATTTTTTTTAATTTACCCTATTTTTTAAATAAATTAAATTGAAAATATTGGTCTGAGTAATAAACTATGATTTGAATATTATGTGGGGACCAAAGGAGTATATGCTCTATTGGGGTAAAACAAGTTATCATATTCAGCCATTTCATAGCACTATCTTTCACACAAAAAAACAAGGACACTACAGAAAATCAACTTTTGTATCTCTCTATCTCACAATAATCATCACACTTTCATTTCTTGTGTATCCCAATTCTCAAATAAGTCACATTTATTTTAAAGGGAAAAAAATTATAGACTACTCTAAACCTACATGAAGCTAAACTGAGACATTCAATACTAGACCGAGAGAATACAAAAGAAAATTGCTCAAAATAAAAATATTTCTCTGGAAAAACCAGGTTGGACAATATACTCTGGAGTCTGGAGCATTGAACTCCATGGAGTAACTACAAAAGGAAATGCCTCATGAAAAAATATTACTCTATAACACAACAGACAAAATTTTGAACTACAATAATTGTCTTTTTTTATAAGAACTCTGAAACAACTAGGAAGTTATCTGTGTAATTCAAATTTTTTGCCTGTTGCGTAAATATGATGCTGGGTGTGGTGTACAAAACTACATATAGCATTTTCCAACTACAAAATGCTTCTGTCTAAGAGGCTATTCTCATATACAATATTGCTGGGTAACTTACTACCCCCCATTGTAAGTTATAAAAAATTAGTGTGCGAAACCCGTAAGAGAGAAAGAGAAGCCTGTTTCTAACCTAATTCTTCAAGAAAACTTAGTACATATAACTGTTGAGAGAATGATATAACAAAACAAGCCTGAAAGCTCAAGCTCCCATATGCAGAAGAAGAACCCCACTTTTCCGTTAAGAAAGAGCTGTCAACGACATCTATGAATACTCCTCTGTTCAAGAACAAAAAAAAAGGAAGCCATATTAACTAATGGTGATTTAGCTAAATAACGATCGCCTTCCTGTCATAACCTTCATAAGAAGAAATAATGAGATGAAAAATAGAAGACAATCATCGTAGATTATTTAAATTTCCACACCATGAAACAGCTATGAGTTGAGATATTTGCTATTTCAGGTTCCATTACAGGATTGATATTGTAAAGTCAACCTGCAAATCATGGACAATGCAAATTGCCTTGGTATATGGATACCTAAGGTTAAGCTAGTTCTAATTTTAAACAAATCTTATTCAATTATGCCCTTTCAAGTAGATTCTTCCAACAAAACTAGCAAAATCCTATGAATGCAAAATACTAAGGGCCAAATATTGTCTGAAAAATAAAGGATTGTGATGCAATGACACACCAGATATGCAGGAGACATATATACACAGATTTCATAGTTTAAATAAAAGAGCTCAGCAAGAATTTGAGGGTGATTGCAGCAGATTTTCCCAGAGTTCCCTGTGGACATTTCACCAGTATAGTTGAGTTGCCAACAAGTGACATCTCTGGGGTCCAAACATGTTCTCTCAATTGATTTGTTTTTTCAGAAATTATTATTTAAAAAAAAGTCATCTCATTATCCGTTGTCTTACAAAATGAATTATGCAACCCAGTTTGCACTACCTTAATGTTCCTTCAGCAATGCTACTAAACACATTTAATCCCCTCAAAAGAAGATATATAACTGGAACTGTTGATAGAGAGCAATCTAAACCATATTCATATTTCGGAAGGATTTGAGATCCCTCATGTTTCTGATTGTGTTCCTTTTAGTTCAAACCACTGCTAAGTTTATTTTCTTAGATATATCAAGGCGGAAAGTGAAAACAAACCGGATTTAGACTTTAAAGTACCATGAACAAGAATATGAATCGTTGATAACTGTAACCAAAACAATAGCCATGATTATTCCAGAAACAGAGAGCACTCTGAATATCTATCCTTCATGGAATATATCATGGATATGCATGCCCCCAACACTATGGTAGTCTAATAGTAATGGAAGTATTGGTTTGTGCACTATCAAGTTATGAAGATAATACTCTCTGTGTCTATTTATGGTTCCATAACCATCATCGTCGTCAAAGTTTTTGGCCTTGTAATGCAGATGACAGCAGGTCAACTCGCCCAACTTAAATTAACAATTTAATAGCTATATTTGATGAATGAACTCAATTGAGCAGAAGCCAGAAGGTAACTTGGGCATCACTATTGATCAGATGAAGCAAAATCAAATGATCCAAACAAGATACAGGTAACTTGGGCATTACTATTGATCAGAAAATACATTAAAATAACACTTAAACTGACATGAACTCATGCTTGAATTAATAAACACAAAAACGCTCAAGAAATTAGCTATAAAGTTGATTACAACTTGCAGATTCCATTAAACAAAACATAGATGTTAACCTTGTTTCTCTAATCAGATTCTAATATAATAACATGAGAATCAAAGAAACAGAAACTCCAGGGAGAGCCTGAACAAACGAAGAACACTCACTAACCAGCATGTGAATTGAGCTTAGCACGTTTGAGTTTTTCCAATTGTACTTGTGATTCCATAATGAGCTTCATTCTCTGAAGTTCCAAGTCTTTGGCAAACTGCATTCTCTGCTTCTCAAGATCCACCATCTGCCTAAGTTTAGTCTCTTCCACTCTCTTGTATATATCCCCAAACTTCCCAATAGCTTCGGCCAAACTCATAAACCCCTCTAACTCCACACCTGGACCCTTTTTCTTCATCCGACCTGAAATGGCAGGGGGCGCTGGGGGCAGAATCGACGCCTCAGACTCTTCATTGTCATATGAGTCTTCTGCTGCTGCAGCAGCAGCTGCAGCCGCAGCCATGGCTGAGAAATTCCTCCGGGAAACCAATTCGTCATTGGGTGCCGGACGCTTGGACCGAGGACCGACAGGGATCGCAGATGGTGGTGGAGGAAGCTTCAGGGAAGCCTTCTGTTGAGGAGGAGCAGTCGCCGGCGAAGTAGAGGGCTTGAAGTTGTCACCGATGAGGGCGTCAAGGCTGCTGAAGAACGGCCAGGACGGAACGTACTTTCCGCGCGATTGTGAAACCCTAGCCCTCTCGGATTTGTACTTCTTCTTCAGGGTGTCGATGCGGTTCTTGCACTGTATGTCGGTGCGGTACTGCTTCTTCGTGTTGGCGTGGAGGGAGTTAACGGCGTCGGCCACCTCCATCCAGTGCTGCCGCCGGAGATTTCCCCGATTCAATTCCAGGTGATGAGACCCCCAAGCCTCGATCAGCGTGTGAGTCGCGGCCTCCGACCAGCAGTCCTCCCGAGACGGAAAAACAGGCGTGCGCGCGGCCGTGGGCGGAGGATTAGAGGGAAAGGGAATAATTGCTTTGTGGTTGTCGCTGTTGTTGTTAGTGGCCGGCGAAGACGGCGCCGGAGATGGGGAGCGACAGTAGTCGGCAGAATTGGGAGTGGCGTCGAGTTCATCTTCGGACATGGCTTTAGGTGTCGGACAATCGCCGTCGGCGGCGTCGTCGGCGGCGCCGGCGGACGTGGAGGAGGGGGAGTAAGAGGAAGAGTTTCGAGGGGAAAAGGTATTAGTATTGGGAGCAGTGATGGGCTGGGAAGACATGACGCCGACGAGAAGAAGTTTTTTTTTTTGGGCTCGAAATTTGGGCGGCTAGGCTCTCTCCGTAGTTTCTTAGTCCACTGCGTAGAAAGAAAAACTACGGCTCGGCACCGCGCACTGGAGCTTGAGGGTTCGTTCGTGAGCGCTGGTCACTCAGTTTTTGGAGGGAAAAGTGAGCCTCTTGAGACATGGATTCACTACTATGCAAAAAAGTACTAGTACTACTACTAGTACCTCCTCAATGTCATGTGTTCAGGAGGTGTTCTGTTGTATAGGAGGTGTTCTGTTGTATGTTAATAAAATTGATAGTTCTTACCCTTTTTAACTTCTTAAACTCCTCCATCTCGTTCCTACTCTTTCAATTGCACCCCCAAGTTAATTTTGATTTTGGAATCAAAATTTAACTCTAAAGTTAAAATTAACTTAGAAATGTAATTGAAGGGGGTGAGGGTGTGTTCGGGTCAGGGCAGAGTGGGGGAAATGTGCTCTAATTTATCATTATGTCTATAGTTTTACTCTAATTGTAACCTCCGCTATAATAATAATAATAAGGCATAATAAATAATAATAATAATAATTGAGACTCTTCAAGTGCCTAAGACGTTTTATAAAAAAAATCTATTATTCAATCAATACACATTAATTTATTTATTTCTCACAATAATAAAAAAACTTAATCTACTAATTTGATATATTTGTATATGTGCATTTTTTTAAAAAAGGTACAATTAGAATTATTTTATAAATAAAATTGTCTTGTCTAGTGCAATTTACATATACATTTGTTTTTTTAAATAGTAGATTCTGGCAATGAATTGAAAAAAAACAGATATATGACTAAAGGTTAGGATCAACGAGCCCATAAAGTTCAAAATAATAATTAATTTATAATTTATTTTCAGTTATGGGTAACATCACCAAGCTTGAATTTGCTGCCCTTGACATTTCCGGAGAGAACTATTTGACATGGGTTCTTGATGTTGAGATTCATTTGAATGCAATGAACCTTGGAAATGCTATTAAAGAAAATGGTGGGGCTAGCGAACAAGAAAAAGCAAAGGCAATGATTTTCATATGTCATCATCTTCATGAAGGCCTGAAGTCCAAATATATTGGGGTCAAAGACCCTGCGACTCTTTGGAGTGACTTGGAGGAGAGATACAACCATCTAAAAAGTGTGATACTTCCAAAGGCTCGTTATGATTGGATGCAACTAAGGTTGCAAGATTTCAAAACAGTAAATGAGTATAATTCTGCTATGTTTAGGATTGTATATCAATTAAGGTTGTGTGGAGACACCGTCACCGATGCTGATATGTTAGAGAAAACATTTACCACTTTTCATGCCTCTAACATGCTTTTGCAGCAGCAGTACCGAGAAAAAGGATTTATTAAGTTTTCCCAACTTATCTCTTGTCTCCTTGTTGCTGAACAAAATAATGATCTTCTCATGAAAAATCATAACTCTCGCCCTACTGGTTCTCAGTCATTCCCCGCAGCGAATGCAATCAATTCATTCCCAGAAATGAATGCTAATTTTCGTGGACGAGGGCGTGCTCGTGGTCGTGGCCATGGTTTTGGTCGTGGTTATGGGCGAGGTCGAGGAGGATTCAACAACAATGTTTTTAGTAAGAAATCTGTACCAAACCACTCGAAGTGGGAAAATAATGACCAAAAACAAGAAAAGGGGAAGATCGTTAAAGGTGATGCTTCAAAACAAAGGAATGAAATTTGTTACAGATGTGGAGTGAAAGGTCATTGGTCTCGTACTTGTTGTACACCAAAGCACCTTGTTGATCTCTATCTAGCATCTACCAAAGGAAAGGGAAAAGGAAAGGAGATAATTTTTGTTGATTTTGACAACGACTTTGATACTACAATTGAGCCGATGGAAGCAACTCATTTTGATGTGGATGATTTTCTGATTGAGCCAAGTCGTGATATTAATGGGGCTGAATTTTATGGTGGTGATGCTTCAGTCGACCAAAATAAGATTAAGGAGGAGTGATTTTGAGTCAAGTTTAATTTATGTTGCAAAATAATATGTATTTCCAATTTCAAGTCTTGTTTGTTGTGTCCTTTTCCTGTCGAGTTTACTTTATGTTACAAAATAATATGTATTTCCAATTTCAGTTTTTGAGTCATCATGAATAATAAGTTTTTTATTAATAAAAAAACATGACCTCTTATTTTTCTTATTTTTATTTATGTATTTTATCAAGATGGAAAAACAAAAGGCCATGACCAACTTAAGAGATGAAGACGTTTGCTTGGTTGATAGTGGGACAACACACACAATTCTTAAAGATCAAAAGTATTTTTCAGATCTGCAGTTAGCAAAAGCAAATATTAGTACAATTTCTGGTACTACGGAGTTAATTGAGGGCTATGGAAGAGCAAATATAATTTTATCCGGGGGAACCAATATTGTTGTAAAAGAGGCATTATACTCCTCTAAGTCAAAAAGAAACTTATTAAGTTTCAAAGATATACGACTTAATGGGTTTCATGTTGAAACTATGAACGAAGGAGGTACAGAATACCTTTGTATCACATACACGAATCATTGCCAAAAGCAAGTAAAAGAAAAACTTCCAGNGTTGATAGTGGGACAACACACACAATTCTTAAAGATCAAAAGTATTTTTCAGATCTGCAGTTAGCAAAAGCAAATATTAGTACAATTTCTGGTACTACGGAGTTAATTGAGGGCTATGGAAGAGCAAATATAATTTTATCCGGGGGAACCAATATTGTTGTAAAAGAGGCATTATACTCCTCTAAGTCAAAAAGAAACTTATTAAGTTTCAAAGATATACGACTTAATGGGTTTCATGTTGAAACTATGAACGAAGGAGGTACAGAATACCTTTGTATCACATACACGAATCATTGCCAAAAGCAAGTAAAAGAAAAACTTCCAGCTTTCTCATATGGATTGTATTATACCACCATTAGTGCCATCGAATCAAATGTTATCGTGAACCAGAAGTTCAGTGATCCTAAACAATTTATGTTTTGGCATGATCGACTTGGTCACCCTGGATCGACCATGATGCGTCGTGTACTAGAACACGCCAATGGGCATCCTTTGAAAAACCATAAGATCCCTTTGCCTAATGAATATGTTTGCATAGCATGTTCACAAGGTAAATTAATTACAAGGCCATCCTTGATGAAAGTTGGCAATGAGTGTCCAACATTTTTACAGCGTATTCAAGGAGACATTTGTGGTCCTGTTGACCCACCTTGTGGACCATTTCGTTACTTCATGGTCTTACTAGATGCCTCATCAAGATGGTCTCATGTATGTTTGTTGTCATCACGTACAACTGCTTTTGCTAAACTCCTTGCTCAGATAATCAAATTGAGAGCACAGTTTCCTGATTATCCAATCAAGACCATCCGTCTTGATAATGCTGGTGAGTTCACATCTCAATCCTTTAGTGATTATTGCATGTCGATTGGAATTGATGTTGAACATTCAGTTGCCCATGTTCATACCCAAAATGGCCTGGCAGAGTAATTCATTAAGAGATTACAACTAATTGCTAGACCTTTGCTTTTAAGGTCAAATTTACCTACCTCTTGTTGGGGACATGCCATATTACATGCTGCATCATTGGTACGCATAAGACCAAGTTCTTATCATTCGTACTCACCATTGCAATTGACTTCTGGCCAGCAGCCAGATCTCTCCCACTTAAAGATATTTGGTTGTGCGGTGTATGTTCCTATCTCCCCACCTCAACGGACAAAGATGGGCCCACAGAGATGACTTGGAATTTACGTTGGTTTTGATTCCCCATCTATCATTAGATATATTGAACCATTGACAGGCGACTTATTTAAGGCAAGGTTTGCTGATTGTCATTTTGATGAGATAGTTTTTCCACCGTTAGGGGGAGATAAAATCTTAATTCCTAAAGAACAACGTGAAATTACTTGGAATGTACCATCTTTGTCTCACTTGGACCCACGCACGAATCAATGTGAACATGAGGTGAGACGAATAATACATTTGCAAAATATTGCAAATCAGTTGCCAGATGCATTCACTGATACAAAAAATGTGACGAAGTCTCATATACCAGTTATTAACACACCTACACGTGTGGACGTCTCATACGAACAAAATAATGAAGCACAAAAACCACACATGAAGCGTGGACGTCCCCTTCGTGTGAAAGATAAGAACCCTTGAAAGAAAAGGGTACAAGAGATGAAGATCTCAAATGATAATAATATTTCAAATCAAGAAAACGCTATACAAAATATGACTGATCAGTCTGAAAGTGTTAAAGAAAAGACCTATGAAGAAGTACATACACCTGAAGAGGAATGTCTAGAAGGTTTTAGATCTGAAGAGATATCCCTAAACTATTTGAGTACAAAAGAGAGTTGGGACAGGAAAAATGTGATCACCGATGACATTTTTGCTTATAGTGTTGCATTGAATATTACAAATGAGGATCCTGAACCAAAATCTGTAGAGGAATGTCGACATAGAAATGATTGGCCAAAATGGAAAGAAGCAATGCAAGATGAGTTAAAAGCTCTAGAAAATCGTAAAGTTTTTGGACCTATAGTTCAAACACCTGAAGGTGTAAAGCCCGTTGGATTCAAATGGGTTTTTGTGCGGAAACGCAATGAGAAAAATGAAATTTTCAGATATAATGCAAGACTTGTTGCCCAAGGTTTTTCACAGCGGCCTGGAGTCGATTATGATGAGACATATTCACCTGTGGTAGATGCAATTACATTGCGTTATTTGATTAGTTTAGTAGTCACAGAAAGACTTGACATGCGTCTTATGGATGTTGTTACAGCATATCTGTACGGATCTTTAGATAATGAGATTTACATGAAAATCCCTGAAGGATTCAAAATTCCTGAAGCATGCAATCAGAAAGCTCGTGAGTTATTCTCAATCAAGTTACAGAGATCATTATACGGATTAAAACAATCTGGTAGAATGTGGTATAACCGTCTTAGTGAATACCTTGTTAGAGAAGGTTACATAAATGATCCAATCTGTCCATGTGTTTTCATCAAGAAATCTGAAGTTGGATTTTCCATCATAGAAGTGTATGTAGATGACCTAAACCTTGTTGGAACGCCAGAAGAATTATTAAAGACTGTAAACTATCTAATGAAAGAGTTTGAAATGAAAGATCTAGGGAAAACCAAGTTTTGTCTCGGCCTGCAGATCGAGTGTAACGCCCTGCGACCCGGTCTATTAGAATTGATTAATCTAATTAATTAATTACTAACTCGGACCGGGGTTTGGAAAATAGAATCCTTAGAAAAAAATTATTTGATTATGTCATAATATTCGTTTTGACTGTCTGATTCCAGAAACGTAAACGGATCTCAATTCGGACCCGTTCGGGGAAAATACCGCGTACCGTTCAGGTCAGATTTTACACAACGGGACGAAATTAAGGGAGGTAACCTCCCCATTTAATATCCCACGCCACACACACCCATTTCTTCCCTTAAATGCCTCATCATTTCTAAATTGACTCCCCCTTAATTCCCCTTTAATATAATCCTCCCTCTCCTCTTCACATTCCCCACCATTGTAACTCCCATCAATCTCCATACTCTCATCCTCTCCCCTCTCTTGTATTCGGCCAGTTCATAGCAGCCAGGCGAGGTAGTTTCCGGCGTGAAGGAGAAGAAGAAGGGAGAAGGGAAGAAGGGCTACGCGAGAAGCCATCCGTTCGTCGTTCGTTGTCCGTTCGTTAGCCGTTCATACATCCGTTACCGTTATCGTAAGTCTCTGCGTTTAGAGGTGAGTACGTTGCCCTCTAACTTTAGAATTCGTAGTGTAACCATATTGTTATATTCATAGGATTACCGGCTAAACCTACGTGCACCCACATCGTCATGACTTTTCGGTTATTAGGCCTTTCGATTACACACTTGTTAGTATAAACGTTACAAAACGTTGCAAACTCATCAATACGTAAGCTGGAAACATAAACGTTCATTTCTTAAACCCTCAACGTCTTAATGAAAACCCAACAGGCAAAAAAAATAGGAACCAGCGTGCCTTAATAATCGATTTACAGAACTTGACAATCGATTATTAGGTCGCGCTGAACTCCTCAGTTTTTCAGCAAGACGTGATAATCGATTATCACCATGCTGATAATCGATTATTGGGTCCTGCGGAATCTCAAGTCTGGGCTGGTTCTTTTGATAATCGATTATCACATACCTATAATCGATTATCAGGGCCCTCTGAACTTGGGTGTCCTGAACAAATACTTTGACAATCGATTGTCCTGAGGTGACAATCGATTATCATGGCTTGCGGAACTTGGGAACAGGAACTGCGTAACATGATAATCGATTATCAGATGTGGTTAATCGATTATCAGCCAGTTCTGAACCCAGGTCTGCCATGTTGAACAAGTTGTTTACATATGGAACCGAATATATTTGCATGTGTTGAATATAATTTCACTCTCCAACCCATGCATTCATATCATCATGTATATCCTAGACGCATGTTTAGGACCATGGCATACGTTGCATACCACGGCGAGGGGTCAGGCCCAGTGCGCCTCTTCCGTGGGCCCGTCCAGGAACCTGCGGGATCCATCGGGTTTTCATCATGAGGGCTTGTGTACGTACATGGTATCTAGGCTTAGCTATCACCCACATTCTAGTCTCCATTGGGATGACTAAGGCGTTCCTCGGCTCATCTACCGCGTGGGGATGATCACCGAAGGGCAGGGGGCCCCTGCGCAGTCTAACTCATGCATCATGTTGTTTGGTATTGCATCATTGATAATTGTAAACCTTAACCCGTTAGACTTGTATGTGGTATCTCGTACTTAGTTCAGGTACGATCATGTCTATATCAATGTTAGTGTGCTATGCGTTCTACTGTTAGATTACCACTCAGCTTTTGCTGAGCGTATAACGTTGTTTTCCCTTTGCTATACGCAGGTAGGCATGAGAACCATGGAGCCTGACCCGGATGATTGGGTGATAGGAGCTGCGGATGAACGACAGTGCAGGCCGGATGAATTACTCATTTAATTTATGGAAACGTTTTGGGCATGAACCCACCTTTTGTCGCATTTACGTTATTTATGACCTAACAGTTTTACTTACATTTACTTCCGCTATAAACTTCTTTTAAGTGAATCCATCCTCATCATTTAATAAAGCATGTCAAGGGTTTTCTGTTACAAGCCACGCAAGGGGTTTTCCTTGTAGACGGCCTTAAAACCGTCTACGTAACCTCTCCGGCACGTTGGACCGCGGTGAACCGGGTTCGCGGGACGGAGGGTGTTACATCGAGCATGTATCGAGTGGGATTTTTATCCATCAATCAACATATACGGAAAAGGTCCTAAAACGATTTTACATGGATAAGGCACACCCATTGAGCAGTCCCATGGTTGTTCGATCATTAGATGTAAAGAAGGACCCTTTTCACCCTCGAGAAGATAATGAAGAACTTTTAGGTCCGGAGGTACCTTTTTTAAGTGCTATAGGGGCGCTAATGTATCTTGCAAATTGTACAACACCTAATATTGCCTTTTCAGTTAATTTGTTGGCAAGATATAGCTCAGCACCAACACGACGACATTGGAATGGTGTTAAACATATCTTACGTTATCTTTGTAGAACAATCGATATGGGTCTGTTTTATTCGAAAGGTTCGGAATCACAAGTTGTTGGTTACACTGATGCTGGCTATCTTTCTGACCCACATAAGGGTAAATCACAAAGTGGATATGTTTTTACTTGTGGTGGTGCTGCAATATCATGAAGATCAGTAAAGCAAACACTAGTTGCAACCTCGTCAAACCACTCGGAGATAATGGCGCTATATGAAGCAAGTCGAGAATGTATATGGTTAAGGTCACTGGTTCATCACATTCGAGAAACTTCTGGATTATCTTTGAATAAGGCTCCATCATTACTCTATGAAGATAATGCTGCTTGTATTGCACAAATTAAAAGTGGCTACATCAAAAGCGACAAGACAAAGCACATATCACCAAAGTTCTTCTATCCGCACAAGCTTCAGAAAAGTGGAGATATTGAGGTTCGTCAGATACTGTCATGCAATAATCTAGCGGATTTGTTCACTAAGGCATTGCCAACCACGACATTTAGGAAGATGATCAATGGTATTGGAATGCGTCAACTCAAGGACCTTTTGCCATGTTCAGGGGGAACATTATAAGCACTGTACTCTTTTTCCTTCGTCCAAGTTTTTGTCCCATTGGGTTTTTCTTAGCAAGGTTTTAACGAGGCAGTGTCATAAGCTCAAGTCTACCTAAATGGTGAACATCCAAAATCCAAAGGGGAGTGTTATGTATAAATGTCTTTTGATGTTCTCCATGTCTAAGTTAGACCTTTGATTTTTCCCTTTGTAAGCCTATATATTGAGGCTCCATATGTTGAAATGAGACATCCATATCTTTAATCTCTCATTGCATTCTTTCTCTTTCACTCTCCATTGCACTTTGATCTTCCATTTATGTTCTTATCAAGGTATATCTCTATCATCTTGTTCTTGATAATATTTCTATTATCTTTATTTTTAACAAACTTGATAAGTCCGTTTTGTACGCACTTATCTGCTCTTTATTTAACGTGTTGTTGTCCAATTTTGGATTAAACAAATCAATTTCTCAATGGTTTTTATAAGTTTTTATTCATAATTGTAAAAGTGCACAAAAGTTATGTCTAGTTTTAAAAAGAATAAAAATTGAGTCAAAAGTGGTACAAAAATGTAAAAAATTGTGCAAATGGAATGCAGCGGAGCAAATGAGAGAAAAGATGGTTAAAATCCTTGAAGTGAAAATTGTATATTCAATTGTGGAGATGTACCCCGTCAAGAGATTTGAGGTCAAACGGATTGAAAAAGTACCTAAAAAAAATTGTTTGAAAAGAAAAAGTTTAAAAAAAAGTTGTTTTGATTCAAATTAATTCGTTTTACCCAAATTGGTTCGGAATTTGAAGTCGGCGCAGAAGGAAAAGTTATTCAGATTTTTTAAAACTCGTTCTGACATAAAAACCTTGTTAAAAGCCTTGCCTAGTTTTAGGCCGGTTGGTCCGCGACGGTGCACCGCGCTGGACCGACCGGCCGGTTGATGTCGTCGTTCGTTCAACAGTCGGTGGTGGTAGTAGAATATTAAAAAGATAAGATTGAAAGAAGAGAAAGGGAGTACGACGCAGCGCATGAAGACAAAAAAAAAAATACTCCAGTCTCCTAATCAGCCACTAGCCACCTCCGTCCATCTCTAATGCCTCCTATAAAAGGAGGCCTTCGCCCTCCACTCAAATACCAAGCTTTCTTCCGGGTCTCTTATGGCCCGGACTCAATTTCTAGCTCCTGTTCTCAGTTATATTTTAATATTTTAGTTTAGTTTTGTTCCGGTTGTCTCATAGTAGCCCCGACTCTGCTCTCGGTTGTAAGTTTATTTTTACAGCTTTTAATAAAATGTTCTTTTATTTTATGCACTGTTAATATCTAGTATGGGTTAGGACCCGGATTAGGGTCATGGCAAAATTTGGGTTTATACTCTGTATGTTTATTTAATAGTTGGAATAATTGTTCTAAAATTATTTTTAAATTAATTAATTATGTCGAGAGAAAAATTAATTAATAATTGGAAATTAGTTTTTACCTTGTCTATGAGGATATAAAATTAATTAAGCCAAACTTTTTAGAACACATTAATGATACCTTGAGAGAGGATAAGTTAATAAAATATTTGTGATAGAAATATATTTATTCCAATTATTGATTAAATATGTGACAACAGTAGTTAACCTAGATGATGCCTTGGCCCGAAGTCTAGTCCTATACCCGTACTATTTATTTTCTTTTTCTCAAAAGCACACAGTAGTTCAGTTTATTTTTATTATCAAATCGAAAAGAGAAGACTTTCAAACCTGTCCAAACCTTCGTCTGGTTAGAAAAATTAGCTAATTCCCTTCGTTCACTCCTCGAGAGACACGACACTCGGAGAAAACTAATCCTTCATTGGGAAGGTTGACTTACCGAAAAACTCAAACATCAAAACTATAATTTGTTATGAGATAATTAACTTTTTTGTTTTCATGATTTATGATATTATACGATAACTTCGTATGATAAAAATATATACACAACACACATATACACATATTTTTATATGTATGCACATATATTTATGTGTCTACACATTTATTTTGTATATAAAAATGTCTTATACGTTTAAATATCAATAGAGAAACAAAATATAAACATAAAAAAATTAGGAAAAACTGTATATAACGGATCGAATATTCAGATAAATGGTTATTTAAACAGATGCATATTCGGATCGGATTTTAAATGGATCGGATATATAATTACCAATCCGTTTAGTAATCGAATATCCTTAATCGGATACGGATAATATCCATTTAAAACGGATACGGATATTTCCTTTTTAAACGGATACAGATGCGGACGGTAACCAGATTTTTGACTATCTGTTGGCAGCCCTACCGAACTCGACATGACCGACTCGCTAATGTAAGAATTTTTTCAAAATCATATGTTTTAATATGTAATATAATGTTACAAAAATAAGATTTTAATTATATTTCTTTGCTTACTAGTCGTTTTTAGTGTATAAATTTATATTTCCATACAAAATTTAATAATATTGCATAATTATCTTACTTTTTTCAAAATTTTCTGCATATTTAGTTTTTTATTCGTAATATTGACAATCGATCATAAAAATTACTTAAAATTTCAAAAAATAAATGAAAGTCATAACCCGTTGGGTTGATCCAAACCTGCGGATATTGGATCATGAACATGTAGCTCTCAACCCGAAGCTGAACTTATCCGAACCTGATATAATCTGAACCCAAGGTGACCGAACCCGAATTGACCGACCATTTTCCAGCTCTAGTTTAAATGTTTAAAGGAGTTTTTTGAAAGTGAATAAAAAGTTAGGGGTGGGCACGGTCCGTGATGTTAGACTATGTGTGCAACTTTAGAGGGGGATGAATAGAGCTGTTGAGATGTTTACCGATTTTCATAGGATTATAAGATAAACGTAAGTGCAGCGGAATTAAAAGTGAAAAGGCAAAGAACACACCGATATACACTGGTTCACCACAACGTGTGGCTACGTCCAGTTCCACGAGAAACTCTCTCGAAGCTACCAGTACTTCCATTAAGGTTACAGGTGCTTAAGAAACCGTTACAACTTGAGAACTTGAATCCCACAAGCCTCAATACAATCGCTCGTAGATGTGCTCTCTACAAGACTTCACATCCAAGACTTAAGTAACATAAGTCTTGTACAACAAGAAGAATGATTTTCTTCAACCTTACAATCTCACAAGAGTAGCAATGAGAAAAGATTTAGCTGTATGGATGACAAGAAAACTCTCTTGAAAACGAATAGTTTTCTCTCAAAATATATGAATTTGAAGAAGGATTAAATGGAGGGTTATAACCTCAAGAATGAGGTATTTAAGGTGTGTTTCTTGTTGTTAAAAATGACCAAGGAAGGTTTTTTAAATAGGATTTGAAGGAATATATCCGTTGGTCCAAGAAAAATGAGTTGTGCTGAAACACTCGCAAAATAATTGATTATTTAGGTGTAATAATCAATTATTGCATTCTGTCCAAAATTCCTACAGCGGACAAAATGATAATCGATTATTTCCAAAGTGTAATAATCGATTGTTTAGCCAATAATGCCCAAACATGAAGAACACAAGCATGTGTGTGAGGTGGAAGATGTTTTGAACTTTTGGACTTTGTTTGGGACAAGAAAAATAGGGTAAGGAGGCTCCCCAATCAACAAAATAATTCAAATTAAAATTTTCATAATTCAAATGAATTTTAGTGTAAAATTTGAGTCCTAAAAATATTTTGTGTGTCAAGTGATGTACACGAAAAATATTTGAATAAAATATTTTTTCTTACCAAAAATATTTTCTAATATAAAAATAAATATTTTGATGAATGTTTGACACACCTTTTGAAATTGACTCAATAAAAATATTTTGAACTGTTAAAAAAGATTTTTCAACTGACTCCAAAAATAAATATAATTTTTATATTCTCTCATAAAAATAATTTTGGAGAGAAGATAATTTTTGTTATACTTACAAATATTCATAAGACTCAAATAAATAAAAAATCTTCAAAAATCTTCTATTTATCTGTTAGGCGCTCCGAACGCGTCTAAGAGTCCAAATAAAATCTGTGCACCTTCTTGAGTACTTCAAGAAATGGCACTTCAAGTTTTCGTATTTGTCAATGTAGCACTTTAATCTTGACTTCAATAACTTGTGTTTGTCAATTATCAAAACCTCTGAGTCAACACTTAACAACACAAAAAGAGTTGAACTCATGCATTCCAACAATACTACCAAAACCTATCACGGACCGCTCTTATTGAAACGGTTCGGTATCGGTACGGGATGAACTCCAAAATCATTCGGTACCATTACTTTTTGAAAATATTATAAATGGTCTGGTACCATTACGGTCCGGTATGATACCATGCTAGTTCAGTTTTTTTTTTTGCCCACCCCGATAACAAGTTAAAGATATCAAAATATGTAATTAAAAATATGGCTCATATTTCTAAATCATCGCTCATATTTCATTCAATATTTTTATATCCCTAACCCTAGGTTTTTGGATGGACTTTTTTTCTTCTTCCAAGCTCTTTCTTTTTGAAGATCATTGCTCCACTTATAATTTTGCAAAAAATAATAATAATAATTCAATACTAAGTCTTTACTGTATGATGGATTTGGGTAATTTATCTAAATAATACTAAAACATAATGACTTTCTCAATATAGAAACATATGTTTTTATTTCACCAAAGTATGAATCATAAATTAGGCCATAGATATGAGATATTGATAATAAAAATAAGATAGTCAACACTCAACATCATAAGAGAGCTTATAGAGTCCTCTATTCTTCTCAATGCCTCCTATTGAAGGGTCTAATCCCCTTTGCTTGGACATCTAAGCCGCTCATCCCATTGGCCAATGCAGCCGATAAATCTTAGCAAACTTGTAGGGTGTACAAAATAGCGAAAAATTGAACCAAACCGCATTGAAATAATCGATTCTGGGCTAGATATGTAAAAAAGTCCAGACTGGCATCCGGTCTTAGAATTAAAGACCGGTATAATTTCGGTCTATTCTGGTCTAAAATCTAAAGATTTCTAGGTCTGGCTGGTAAGACCGAAATGTGATTATTCTTTTACTCTTTTCTCTTTAAATATTAGTTTTATTTTATTATATAAAAACTTCAGGTATAGTATTTGAGCTTGGTTTTTTTATATGTGACTTATTTTTGATAAGATAGAAATTTATTAGAGTGTAACTTTTTATCATTATTTTTGAAACCTGACAAACTAATAAAACTAAAAAATTTATTTATTCGTGTCATATTATTGATGAAATAGCTATATATTTATATTATTTCTCGAAACACAATAAACGAATAAAATAAAAGTTAGGCTGAACCCCGCTAGGTCATCAAAAAACGAGTTGAAATGACCCGAGAAAAAAATTCTGATTATTGGTCTAAAATCAAACTGGAAAAGAAAAAAGGTTGACCAGAATCAGGTCCGGGTTTCGATCCTACCCTTTACCAAAATCCAGTTTTATAAGTTTTTCCAATTCCAGTTCGGTTTTGGACCACCCTGTCCACCCCTAACCATCCGTGATGTGGGAACAGTAAGAGCTTTTCCTTCGGGGTATTTCAAAGTCATTTTTTATTTTTGCAGGACTTCCTTCAAGTTCTTGAAAGAGCTTGTCAACTCATAACTGCCACTAACAGGGGAGCTGAAAAGAGGATGAGCTTCTTGAAAGAGCTCTCAGAAGTCAGAAAACTACCATGTATCAGGCGGCAACACTTTGGGAAAAGAAGCCGACAATGGGCAAATGAGCAAGGTTGCTAGCTGGAAAAGGAGCTTGCCGATACTCAAATGTAAAAGCTGGTAAATTCATCGGTCAGGTTGCTTCAAGTTTAATCATTTTTAGTTCAGGTAAATTCAAGTTTGAGTTAAGAATTGCATTTCATGACCAGTGTCATCGGATTCAGGTCAAACCTAACGGGTTATGACCTTTTTTTTATATAAAAAAAAATTAACTAAATTTTAGCTATATTCCATATACCTAAATATGCAAAATCAATACTTCGTATTAAAAACAAAAGAACTAATATGTAGAAAACTTTAGAAAAAGTAAGATAATTATGTTATATCACCAAAAAAATTAAAAATATGAATTATATGTTATAAATGAATAGCAAGAAAATAAATATAATTATAATATTATTTTTGTAATATTACGTTTCATGTTAAAGTATATGGTTTTGAAAAATGCTTATTATAGCGGGTCGGTCAGGTCGAGTTCAGATTCGATCGAGTTTGACCCATTTTGAACGGGTCCTTTTGAGTTCGGTCAACAAAACTTGTGTTCAAAATTCAATGTTTTCAAATCACGTCTCAAGTCAAAAAGTAGATTGGGTCATTTTTTGTCAGGTCTATTAAAAAGATCAATCTGAGGCCTCAAATCGCACAACAGAACTCTCTCTAGGCTGAGGGAAATTGTATTTTATGATATTAATCTTTAGAGAAGTAAGAATGACTTAAATTCCAACATATCATTAGGCTTTGGATTATGGATCTCCTCTTACTTTTTGTGAACTCAACTTCACATCAATTTTTCCTTTTAGCCTCCTTTCTTTTTCCCTTTTAGGGATGTAATTTCTCTTCCTTTCCCTTTTCCCTTCCATTTTTAATGCAATATTATCTTTTAACACTTAATTTCCGCTTCTTCCCCTTGGTGCAACATCGTTATCCCGCTCTTTTCCCTCATATACCACGTAGCCTTATACACGACATTACACTAAAAGAGTGAGATGACAGAATAAAAATGAAAAAGATAAGATTGAACAATGGTTCATTATATCCCCACATTAAAGTTTTAGTTACTATTCTAGAGTCACAATTACTTTTATTTATTCATATATTTTCATTAATCAATTTAACAAAGTAATAATCGTATCACCTTATATACTTCGTATTTTTTTGAATAAATCTATTTGTATCTCAAAGATTGTATCCCAAAAGTTTATATTTATATTTTGTGGCAATGTAAGTGTGAGATTGATGTCTAACATTGACACAAAATATCAATTTCAAATTTTATATTAATTTAAATCATTTAAATATAAGGTAAATTTTTAGGCTTTTTCATAGGAGGTACATCATCTTTGCACCTTGTAACAAAAAGGTATCACATCTTCAACTTGTAACGAAAAGGTACTCCATCTTTAAAAAATGTAACAAAAAGGTACTCCTTTCCAGAATTTCAAGAATCCGGCCGGTGAACGTACATGTGGCATTTTACTTAGCTTTCTAGTGTAGATGTCACATTCCATATGGCTTCCAAATTGACTCGTAATTTATCTAATACTTGATTGATTTTGTATTTAACACATAAGTCAAAAAAATTTCTAGTAATCAAAATATGGAGGATATTTTATAGAGAATATTTTAATTTTATTTTTAAATCGTGTTTTCTATAAGATTTTACTTTTAATATAACATTTGGAAAAAATTATAATTTATAAGATACTTCATATTTTAAACATAAGTAGCAATAACATTTTAATAATTGTCTATACTATATTTTTAAAGATTTATTAGAAATTTCAAAAATTTAAATCTAAAAAATACGTATTATTATTATTATACTTACTACGATCATCATCATTATCAAGTAGGGAGATGCTAGGGGTACACCTTGGTGTACCCCAAATGTACATCACTTGTCTCTGCACCATTCAATTTATTTTGTTTTTATTTTTTATTTTATTTTTTTAGTTTTAATGGCCTTTTTTGTGATTATGGAGGGGTGGGGGATATTTGGGATACACTTTTGGTGTACCCCTAGCATTAAGTATTATTGATACGTGTAATGAGTTTTATAAGTTATCTATGTATATTTTAGAAGAGACTTTTATGAACCATCATGTTTATTTATCTATTAAAATTCTAACTCCAAAAGATTGTAGATATATATTGTCTTTTAAATTACAATAAAGAGAAATATTTAAAAAGTAATTGCGAGTTTGGTTTAAAATATTTTTTAAATATTATAATATGATATTTTTTTATAAAGAAATTATAATTTAAAAAAATTAGAACATCACGTAAAAAGTTAATAACGTATATGAGAGGTTATAAATTAATTTGGAAGTCATGAATGTAACATATACATCAGAAAGCTAAGTAGAACATCACATTTACGCTCTCCGGTCGGAGTATTAAAATTTCGGAAAGAGTACCTTTTTGTTACATTTTTAAAGATGATGTATTTTTTCGTTACAAATTAAAGATGGAGTACCTTTTTTGTTACAAAATACAAAGATGAAATATTTTCTATTAAAAAAAGCCAAACTTTTATGATACATTTATGAAGTATCTTCCATGAAAAAATATGATACATTTTGAAGTACAATGTTTGAGGTAATCCATTTTTTGGAAAGACTATGGACCTATGGGCATTCTTTCTTCTAACAAGGAGCAAGAAAGAGAGAAAGTAAGAGTGACAGTTTTATTGTTATCCAGTTTTCCTTATCCAACTCCGATTCCCATGGCTTCCTCTCCATCATCTACTCCCAGTATCATCGTTAGTCATCTGATCGCCACCAGCATTAATGACCTGCCGGACGTGATCCTCTCCAACGTCATCGCCGCCATTACCGACGTCCGCGCCCGCAACTCCGCCGCTCTCGTCTGCCGGAAATGGCTCGTCCTCGAACGCTCCACACGCGCCTCCCTCACCCTCCGCGGCAACGTCCGAGATCTAATCATGCTTCCCACCTGCTTCAGATCCGTGACTCACCTCGATCTGTCCCTTCTCTCTCCCTGGGGCCACCCCCTCCTATCTCCGGCTACCTCCGAGGCCGCCATTGACACAGATCCAACCCTAATCGCCCACCTCCTTCTCCACGCCTTTCCCTCGATCAATTCCCTGAAGCTTTATGCTCGCAACCTTTCCTCACTCCAGCCATTGGCCTCACAGTGGCCGCAGCTAGGGAAAGTCACGCTGGTTCGGTGGCACCAGCGGCCACAGCTGTCGTCCGGCGAGGAATTCAGCTCCTTCTTCAGCGAATGCTCGAATCTGGTCTCCCTCGACTTGTCTGCTTTCTATTGCTGGACCGATGACATTCCTCCTTCTCTGGAATCTCACCCCCGAGTTTCAGAGAATATCACCACCCTCAATCTCCTAAATCCTTCGTTTTCAGAGGGGTTCAAGTCAGATGAGATCACTGCAATTGCAAAATCATGTCCCAATTTGAAGGAATTTCGGGCAGCTTGTATGTTCGACCCCAGATACATAGGCTATGTTGGAGATGAAGCTCTGATCTCAATAGCCACTAAGTGCCCGAACCTCGCTGTGCTTCATTTAGCTGACACCTCTGCTCTGTGCAGCACAAGAGGCGATCCTTCTGATGACGGGTTCACCAACGAGCAAGCAAGGATCAACATTCCCACTTTGATTGAGGTATTCTCCAGTCTTTCCTTACTAGAAGAACTTGCTTTGGATTTGTGTAACAGTGTTAGAGACAGTGGTCCTGCGTTTGAAATCCTGGGCTCGAAATGTCCAAGATTGAAATCCCTTAAATTAGGGCAATTCCACGGTGTTTCCATTCCGGTGGAGTGGAAGTTGGATGGAGTTGCCCTCTGTCACCGGCTGAGGTCTCTATCAATCAGGAGTCCGGGAGACTTGGACGATATTGGACTGATAGCCATCGGCAGAGGGTGTTCCAGGCTTTCTAGGTTTGAGATTCAAGGTTGCAAGAAAATAACAATGAAGGGGATGAGAACTGTGGCTAGCTTGCTAAGAAAGACTTTGGTAGATGTCAAGATCTCTTGCTGCAAGAATCTCAGTGCACGGGCGTCTTTGAAGGCTCTAGAACCAATAGAAGATACCATTCAAAGGCTTCACATTGATTGCGTTTGGGACAGTGTAGAGGAATTACCAGATTGTTCTAATGGTGGTGGTTTGGAGTTCAATTTGAGAGGTACCCATGGTGATGGTGATGGTGATGGTGATGGTGATGGTGATGGTGATGGTGATGGTGATGGTGATGGTGATGAAGATGAAGAACTGTGCAATAGAAAGAAAAAGGTCAAGTATTCATATGACCTGAATCGTCTGTACGAGGAAATGAATGGTCATGGAAAGACGTGGGACAAGCTGAGCTATCTCTCCCTCTGGATTGGTGTTGGGGATCTTCTCACTCCTCTACCCGATGCCGGTCTAGAGAATTGTCCAAACTTAGAGGAGATGAGGATTAAGGTGGAAGGAGATGGCAGGCTACTATCCAAACCTTCGAATCGCGAATTTGGCTTGACAACTCTATTGTGCTATCCAAAGCTCTCAAAGATGCATTTAGATTGTGGAGACGTGATAGGGTACGCGCACACTGCGCCAGCAGGGCATATGGATCTGAGCTTATGGGAACGGTTTTACCTGATGGGGATTGGGAATTTGAGACTAAGCCAACTCGATTATTGGCCAGCACAGGACAGAGATGTCAACCAGAGGAGTCTAACCCTACCAGCAGCCGGCTTGATCCAGCAATGCCTCACCTTGAGGAAGCTTTTCATTCATGGAACAACTCACGAACACTTTTTGAGGTTCTTTCTCCACACCCCACACCTTAGAGATGTGCAGCTGAGAGAGGATTACTACCCAGCACCAGAGAGCGACATGAGCACAGAGATTAGAGAAGATTCTTTGAGTCGGTTCGAAGCAGAACTCAACAGACGCCAAATCTCAGACTGATTGTTTTGCTGTTTTTGTTCATACGAATTGAATGATAATTTAGTAATGCACACTTTCTGAATTTTGATTTGGCAATGGACAAGCCATGAGTGGTTTATATAATGATTAATGACACATAAATTGTATTGATATATTGATTTAGCAGAGAGGGCAAATACTCACTGCAAAAATGTTGTAACAACACACATAGTTAGAGAGTAGAAATGAAAACCACTCGAAAAGAAGTTGCAATTCAAGCCGACACAAATGTTGTAACACAAACTCTACTTATGTGTGTATCTATGTACAAAAGGCACATAATGCAATCAGCAGAGTGAGTATTCACAATCAACCAGGCGTGTCAAAATTTGCTCACAACTGGGCCGTTCTTGAGGCTCTGCCCAGCAATCTGGAAATATAAGCAGTTTGTTTTCAAAAATGTAAGGATAAATTGCAGAAGCCAACCCACAATGCAGGATGCTCAATTTTATTTGAGATTTACCTGCAATAAGTCTACCCAGATTCCCGGTTTCTGGTATCTCTAACCTCGACCCCTCGTTAGCAACAGCATACACCACCTGCAAAACAAGACATGAAATCAACAGCTAGTATTTTACTTATAGAAGAATGCTGTAATCCTTTAGGGTCTGTTTGGTTTAAGGAATTTGAGAAGGAAAGGAAAAGAAAATGAGAAGGAAAACATTTTTCTTGTTTGGTTAGAGAGGAAAAGAAAAGAAAAGTGGAAGGAAAGGAAAATAAGAACGAAAAATGTACTAAGAGGAGAGAAAACCAAATTCCTTTCATTTTAGTGAGGAAAAAGAGGGAAAACCATTTTCTTTTCCTTCAAAATTACCTTGAACCAAACATAGTGTTAGGGTCTGTTTGCATGGAGAGTTACGGCGTGGAGAACTTTGAGAATGGTAATCTTCCCCTTGACATAAATTTATACATCAAGGTATACAACTAAGCTCCATGCAATCACAACCATAGAAACGACTAAACGAGAGCTTAAAGGGAACAAGAGATGGTATGCAGTATTACCCTTTCCGGAGGTACACCTTCCCAAGGTCTATTCAGAGTACAGAGCTCCCACATGATAACTCCTAGGCTAAAGATGTCGCATTTCTCTGAGAAAGGTTCATTACGAATGAGTTCAGGAGCCATCCACTCTGGAGTTCCTGCAGATGTGGAGTCTCGCATGGATGCATCTGTCACCATTCTTGACAGCCCAAAATCACATATTTTTACTGTCCAATGCTTGTTCACAAGACAATTTGCACTTTTTAGATCCCGGTGAGCTATCTTCATCCGATGTATGCACATCAACCCCCTTTGGATGCACAGAACAAAAACAATAATGATTACTACTTATTATGATCATCCAAATCTTGCCTCTTAAGAAATAATGTTAGTCACATGTGATTCTTTGACTCTAATGTGAGTGTTTATGAGACGGGACTTTCTTTTATACTGGTTTTGAGACTATGAAGAAGAAACAGCAAACCTGCATATGTCTCTAAGTATCTTAAGTCTCCGCCGCCAGCTGAGCTTCTTCTTTTGACCACTTGAATGAATTAAATAATAGAGTGATCCCATCTCCATGTATTCAGTAACCATTGACAGGTGTGGAGGTATCATGCATGCACCAAGAAATAGTATCACTGCATAACAGATAAACGATCTTCAAATATGTCAAAAGCCCCCACCCCGCAAAAAGAGAAAAAGAAAAAAAGAGATGGAGAAGCATACCGTTTGGGTGCCTTAGACGGCTAGAGTACAAAGCAGGGTCATAAGAAAAATCATTTGTTAGTTTAATACTATGTATCTTAATATTAAGACAGTAAAAATGGGTTCTATACAAATATACACAAGTAATACCTAAGGATTGAAATTTCATTGCAGAAATCCTCCATGTTTTCAGCAGTAAGATCCTGCTCCAAAAACACCTTGATTGCTACTTCTGTCCCATTCCAAATACCACGAAAAACTTCCCCAAAGAATCCTACAAATTGAAAAGTATGGTGTTTAAAGGACAAAATACTGAGCATTGAATGTGACAAACCAGGACAAACACCAGTTGTACGGAGCAATAGTTGCGGATAAAGTTGAACAAACTAGTCTACAACACAATTTTCTTGTTGAAAATGAAATAGAAATCATCTTGCTTCCCATAATCCTTGAGAAAAGCAGAGAGATTAGTGGATCATGAAAAACTGCCACATCAAATTTTTTCATTGTTAAATACTCTGACTTGCGCATAGAAGTTTTCAGGGACAAAAGTGAAATTGATAAGCTAGTCTGTGTTTTGTAAGTTCAGGTTCCTCAGCAGAACAATTTTGCACAAACAATTATATACTTGCATTATGCAGCAATCAATACATCAGGACATGTAAGGATATTTCATTTCATATTTTCCTCCTTGCCTTTTGTGCGAGATTAGAACACACACTATGCTTCTAGACTTTAAAGATTTGATGTTGTACTCTGATGAGTACAGATAGATAGATGCTTAGCGAAGGGACAATAACTGAGTACTACTCCGTATTATATCAAAAGAAGAGAACTAAACATGAAATTCAAGAATGAATCCTACAGCAAGTTCAAACTGTTCTCCTCAGCCTATGGTGGTTAGCACCTGACTTCCTTTATAAACGAAAGGATTATTTGTAATGAGAAGACCTGATATAAAGACATACTGTCACATAAAAAGGTTCTAGCTTTGATTTACTTTTTTTACTGAAATTACTTTCAAATCAAATTATATGAAAATTGTTGTAAAATAAAAAAAAATGCATATCTAAGTACTACATCAAATGTTCTACTCCCTCCGTCCCACTTTAGATTAAAATATTCCCTTTTAGTTGAAATTAAGGAAGAGTCAAATCAAATTTTTTTTCCCAAATTACCCTCCAAATCCCCCCAAATAGTGTGAATAGTGGCTGGCAGAAAAGAAAAGGGAGGGTAAAAGAGTCAAATCACTATAAAGTTATTGACTTTGTAATCCTTTTTGGGACAAAAATGTGAGGGAATATTGTAATCTATTTCAGGACGGAGGGAGTATAAAACAAGAGGTGAAATGATTGTTTTTTTGTCAAAAGATCAGTGAAAATACTCCCTACGTCCAGAATTACCAAAAAAGAATGCCACATTACACAAAACAGAGGGATATTTCAAGTCAAAAGTTACATATTTAAAACTAAGTCACTCGATAAAACTTACATATTTAACAACTAGCATATTTAAAACTTACATATTTAAAAACTAAGTCAAAAGTTTTACAAAACAAGAGATGACAAGAATAATTTATTTTATCAAATAATCAATGAAAACATACAAATAAACACAAGTTCCTTTTGGGATAGAGGGAGTATCTGATGCAAGAAAATATAGTTTGACCATGTGAATAGTAATGTAGAGCTTTTTTATGGAACGGAGGGAGTACGAAAGAACTAATGCATTCTTCAATCAAGGAGGTTAATCCTTTTCACTGATATAACGACTGATTGTGCATCCAAAAACCCACGTAAATAAGATCCTGTGATTGCTTTTTCTTGTCTTTTACCCATTTCTGTTAATTCCTTTCTTTCAGATTAAATTTAAGTCTTTGGCCTCTTTGGTCCTTGCTTACTTATCATAGTGCATAGAAAAAACATATGCTTTTACGTTCCCATAGGAACCCAGTGTCAGAAGGAAAAGAAAGCAGAGAATAGACACTTTCATTAATAACTTCTGATGCCATAAAAAGAAACCATCTTAAATAGTCTAATAATACTCCTGTATTTGAATAGATGTTCCACTTTCCTTTTAAAAATCACTATCTGCAGAAAAACCTCATTAGGAGACTTATCATTGCCAGGTGCACGGACCTGGTTGTATTCGGATATAGTCGGAGTAAATATAGTTGGGCAAAGCTTCGGTTGGTAACCCGAAAAAAGGCCCTTTTGCATCTTCATTCTCCTGCTTTTCTTACTTTTTATTTCCTCGATACATTTTATTTTTGTACACTGTTCAATACTCTATAACTTTGTACCTTTTCATCTTCTCCCTTAACATTTTTATACACTGCTCAAACTTCAGTACCCCTACAATTGTTCTCTTAAAACGAAAACCTTATAGGCGCAACTATTCGAAGATGGAGTGATAAAGTACTTCTTTGTGTGGACGAGGGGTGTTTTAAAAGTAAGGATTCGGGAGAAGGAGAATAATACTTACCAATCCCAACTCGTATGCCCACAGTTAACTCTGAGAAATCTATATTCCATTCTTCGAAAGGTAGCAAAGGCTTATTCTGGAACATTGGTAATTCGAGAACCCTGTTCCAAGTTGAGACCATGTCTTCGTTCGCCTTGTGCTGGTCAGAAGAAGCTATACGTGATTGAGTTTGATTCCTGATTTCATGAGGAGAAGAGGGTAATGACATTGCCTTCTGGGAACTCAAGTGGTCCATTGAAGAAGTGAAAAAGCTAGTCTGCCTACCAGACACACCAACACGATCATCATAGTTGAAACCAGATGCCTGTGGCATGCAATAGTTTGTTAACAATACTAAAACCGATCATTAAGAATCATTGGGATAGTTGTGTAAAGCGAAAAATGAGAGCCAAAAAAAACTTACATCATTTTGAAGATTGGAAGAACTATCTCTATCATATGAAGTGCACATGAAAGACTTGTTTTCTCCTTGTTCACTCAAGAGACGACTCTGCTTCAGGGTTTCGTTCATTGCTCGGACAGCCCTGGTGTGATTCATTTCATAAACATGATGAAAATTGAGAATATACATGGACAACAAATATATTTTTGGGAGTGCGGCTATGGAGGGGATGATAGAAACCTACAAGAGTTAATTTAGGATCTAAATTAAGACTAAAAAGAACTCTCCCTCCCTTCTCTCAATAAGTATCTCACTGAGGAAAAAGGAATAGAAGTCGAGAATTTCAATGTGATTAATGGTTTATTTTCTGGATATCTCAGCAATAGAGAAGCTGGGACATTTATAACAACTCTAACAAACTGATAAGATCAAAAATAACAAACTGATCTGATAAGATCAAAACAACAAAGTGATAAGTTCTAACTAACTAAGCTATCCTAGGGACTCAGGACTCCTATAACCTGAGAGTCCTTTTATTTGATAAATTTAAAACAGTAACAAACTCAATTAAACCACATCAGTGATTCGAATCTTATCAGGGGAGGAGTTATTTTTTAATCTTATGAGAATCTTAAGTGGTTTATGGTTATTAATAAATGGCTAAGCATGGAGATTAATCCAGATAATAACTTATTATCATTTTTTGTTGAAAACTAGCAAGTAAAAGCACTCTTCTTAAGAAAAATTTAAAGAAAACATATGTTTCTTCCCCTCTTAAACATACCCTAAAAGTTTGACCAGCAATGTTGTGAAGAAATGACTGAGTGAAGTTATAATTACAGAACGAATTTCTACCAAATGCATGAGTGCATGACACCGTAAAACGAACTGTCAATTTTCAGCATATAGAGTAGAAAGTTTCATTATATATACTTAAATGTGTTAACATGTCTTCATCAACTATTTCTCTGATTGGTGATTCATTATCTTCCCAGCAAATTGGTTGCCATTATTTCCATAGTTGAAATTTTTATAAAGTTTTTCCAATAAGTTAATGAGCTTTGTAAAGATATGAACATTCCAATCAAAGTCATGGTATATCATCAACCTATGTTTCCATTATTTCCCTAACTTTACGAGTCTACCCCTATCCGGTCTTCCCACTAAGCTAATTGCCATTAAAAAGACATAAACTTCCTCAGATTTCATACCTTGGAAGTAATTGGAACATTTTAAATGTAGTGTGATGACCTTAGAAAAATCCTTTAAGGCTACTTAGAATTATGGAGTGTGCATAATATGTTGACATGGTAAAACTCATAATCAAATCTAATAGAAAACATTTTAAACATAAACAATAGTTATAATATTGTGTGAATAGAAAGATCAACCTTACGATATCATCACCAATTTCAGGAGTTATACTTATGCTTCTTCTTCTCAGCCTACGTGTTTCTGGTGTGGATGCACCTTCTGATCTGCAAGTCGGAAACAATGAAACTCAATGTTGACTTATTCAATATCGAGATATTAGACAAATAAGACAGGCTTTCACATATTGATTAGAAAACAAACCACGTTGATTTATTCATTATCGAGATATCAGACAAATCACATGTTTGATTTTCAACATGTATGAACACAATGTTCATGACTGCAATTGAATTATGTGCAGTGAAAGGTTTCGGAAAAGCTTCAGTGAATGCTACAAATTTGACAAAATTATAAAGTTCAGACCAGTATTAATATTTAATAGTGCACAATAAGGTGAGAATTTGAAGCATAAAGAACGTTGAAATCCCAAGTTTCTTTTTCATTTGCCTCCTCTTTTACCAGATCATGAACCCTAGTGATCCAACAAATTCTACGAGTTGACTCAGTGCTCCACCCTATCTAACAAAACCAGCAAGTTATAGGATCTGGATCGCTCAAGGCATAGAGGCTCATAAACTCGTACGATCCTACAAGTTAGATAGCAAGTTTGACTACCATGACTCAAATCAACATGTATATCATTGAAAAGTCATCAAGATGTTTTAAAATATCAAGTGGACTCAGACATTTTACAATATCAATGTTTTTGTTCACGGACAGATCAGAACAAAAGCCCTAAAATGTTAAAGGTCAGTCACATTTGCTTCACTCATTAAAACATATTTTACAATAGACCATTTTATGACTGAATATGCCGCCTTATATGCTATGTAGTAGTGACTAAATTCATTCTTAACATTAATGTAGGGAAAGATCTCCAGAGCTGATAATACAGACTCACATCCAATACACATTGGATAAACTATAGCTCATACTGGTAAGAGTGGAGATTTGAAGACATCAAGTACAAAAGCAAACAGTGGAGAGAAAATTACCAAGGTGTGCCCCTCTATAACAATTAACAAAAGTAGGGGAGAAATAGGATACAAAACTTGTTTACTTACTAATGCAGATTTACAAAGATCTACAATAAGGAAAGGGGAACAAACAAATTAAAAGCAGAGATACCTTGATGTAGCAACATCGTCAGAAAAATGTCTGAAGCTTTTATGATCACCACTAAGCATGGATCGGCCACGTGTTCGAAATGAAGGATGTTCAGGGCTATCACAAAAATAAAAAATATATACATAAAAACGAGCTACAAGGTACAAAAAGTAAACATGTTTCACACATTTTAGGCATAGAATCTACTAATGCTTTACATGTGAATAGTGATAAACTGATAACCTAGTCACCTTTTTGTAAGCCAGAATCCAAACCAACCTCCCTTGCCCTATTTAGGACATAAGCATGTCTTAAAAGGGACATGATTTCATTTAGCCACCCTTAGCACACATTGCATGATACTCTTTCTTTGCATGAAACTCTTTGATGATAACATAAACATTGAGAAAATATTATCAACAGATTTTGTGAACTGACCCAGCATGGGTACATAAATCACTGACATCCAATCAAACTATGCTTATATTTGCTTACCATATACACATACCGTTTTTTTCAGTTATCTGTTCAATAAAGATTTGTCTACCATAATTGACCAATAAAATGTTAAAGTGATGCCTTTGCCCACATTCATACAAGCCACTTAGGAACATAGCCATAATCACAAATTATTGGCAAACAAAAAAAAACTACGAGTTCAAAATGGAATAGAATGGATGCAACAAGCATACTAAGAATTATGGATGTAAAAACACCTTGAGCTTGCAGTCCTCGGTTCACTGATAACCTTGCTCCAACCCCTCCTCCAAAACGTTGCAGCAATGTTTGGATCACTATGACATGAACTGGTAAAAAAACATGTAAAGAAAAAATCCACTCTTCCTATGGAGAAAATTTTACAACCCTATGTGTTTCAATAATGCCCACATTATGAAGGGATACTTTTAAATGTTAGTAAAAGTCTAAATGCAATATTTGTCAATAAGAACAACTGAACAACATGCTACCTCAAATTTCTGTCAATGGAAGTGGATGACCGGAGCATCATGTTCCGCAATGAAGGTCCTGCTGCATTTGAAGATGCTTCTAGTCTTCGCTGGTACTGGACAGCATCATCTTTTTCAACACTAACAAGAAAATTTAAAAAATTAATATTCCACACAAATATGTTTGGGCATAATGAAAATGTATATATAATAAGAGATATTCTTCTCAACAACCTATCAAGATCTCCTCTGTCTGAAACCCCAAATAGAGGGCTGTTAGGCTCCAATGGCGAATCACAGGAATCATTTTCTGCAGAGTCACTCTCCCCAGCAGCAGAAACATGGGTCATAAAAATAGCTCTGGCTGATTGAGGGATCAATTGGCCAGGAAACCTCATGAGATCCACAAATAGTTCCATGGAGTTCAAAACAACTAGTGCAGACATATGCTTATATGAGTCGGTGCACTCAGAAGCACCTTCTGTAGGCAAACCCTGGTTTGGGGGAAGAACACATGATGTGAACAAAGGAAGATAGAGTAGTAAGACAAGTGCAACTCTCTCCGTTAGATGTATAAAAAAAGGTTGGTCAACACGCAAAAACTTACCGCTACCAGCCTACATTCAATACCTACAGTATCTGCGAGAACTTTGAATAATATTGCTCGTGGGCGGCATGACCCGTGTTTTATTTGTCCTAACATCTGAATACCACGGTTGCTAGAAACACAAGATGTTTCCTCAAGTACACCTTTAGCAGTGCTGAGATCCAAATTCGGTCGATTATGAACATCAGAAACCTAAATAGAAAGCCATAGTAAACGATCGGTTGGATTCCTCTCCACATATTCACAATAGTAAATAACACAATGATGGGTTCAGATACAATGATGGGTCAATTTGAATATCTAGATCCATCTAGGTCGATTTGAATCTCCCCTTTTACCCAAATGATACATGAAAAATACTATGTTCTCATCTCCTTTACGTTGCAAAGTTTTCCACATGTAAACATTTAAATGACACTTCAAACTGATATTTTTGTCCCAAGGTAGTGAGTGAGTAAAAATTATAGCATAAACAATATATGAAATACTCACCAGTCCAGCAATCTTCTTTACCATTGCTGCAGGATTGGAGTTCAAGCCTTTTACCAGTGCAACAGCCAGTTGCTTTAGCATACAAAGCTTCTTATCTTTTTCAGCATCTACAAGTACAGTATCTGCTCTGAAACCCTCAAGCTCTAATGCATGAAGCTCGTCAATTGTAGGTATATCTTCAAAAAGCTCCTTAAGCCTTTTCTCCTGTGGGAGTTTAAAAAAATTGACATTATACACATCACTAGCCAAAATGTAAATGATTATGTTCTTGTGTGAAAGTACTTAACATTTAACAAGCAATAATACACAACAGAGTAAAGAAAAATGGGTTTAGAGCTCACAGGAACAACAGAGTAGAAACCATTTGGAATTGGCTCAGAAAGTGTTCCAGTTCTCCAGAGGATCTGGGATGCTGTCTGTGATGAAGGATTAATGTCTACTTCATTCTCAGTTAACTCGTTATTCCTCGGCATTTCTACTTCAGCGCCCAGAGAAACAGATCCCAATTTTCCAACAGTATTGGAAGGCCAGTGTGAAGCAGTAAGATGTTTCTGTTCCAGAGGACCTACTTCATGTTCTTTCTCTTCCATCCCTAGTTGTAATTGGATTGCAATGATATCTCATTTCAACTTTCTCCCATTAAAAACTTGTAAGTTGCAAAGTTAATCTAAGAAAATCGTGATATGGAGGCTTTTGTTTCCTCCGAACCCCACAGCTTGATGTTTATTAGACCTGCAAAGTCAAGATAAACATAAGCGCTCATACTAAACTCTAACTACCAGTGATTCTTCAAGTTAAGATCATAAAACTGAACATCAATTTAAATTACATTGTGGAAAATACACTTAAAGTCCATAAAGCTCAAAAACGGGTTTGGGATAGTGGTTTATCCAGCAGCTACAGGAGTTGCTTCTTAAAAAGAAAAAACAAATCGTATGAAAAAAATGTATACACTATAAGAATGCAAGGATGTAATCTTGGTAGAATTCATAAATTCAGGCACCAGATAACTATGAAATGTCCTCAAGCACTTCAATACATCTATTGTGAGGATGGTTCCCCACAGAAAGTACTTTTTCAAAAAAAATAATGAAAAACCTCTCCCATGGTTTTAAAAGGCAACCGAGGCGGTCCGCCTCCAGGCGGTTGCATTTCCCCTCTGAGGCTTAAGCCTCAGGCATATCTGAGGCGCACTCCTCACAATGTTGATGCAGTCCGAGGCGGTAAGGCGTAACCAAGGCGAAAGTCTCAATTTTAATAAGAATTTTAACAATTATTGGGCCTTTTTAACAAAAATTCTTTTAGGCCTGTGCACTGCATAGTTTCTTAAGAAAAACGTTATAAACCTAGTAGATAATAAACACTTCTTTCCTAGACTTTAGCGTCAACTTCTGTCTCTCCATCTTCAATCATACTTCTTTCCATCTTTAGACTTCAGTGTCACAGCTTTTTGCTTGCGGTAGCGGCTAAGGCAACTGCTTCATATTTTATTTGTTTATCATCTATTTCTTTCATCTTTTTCTTTCAACTTTTAACTTTTTAGGTTCCTTCTTTTCCAGCATCCTTCTCCCTCTTTTAAATTCAGTTCAAACTTAAAGAATGATGCAACTTTTTTTTGCGTGAAGTTTTGTCCATGTTTAATATTTATAAGGTTTGAAGATGTATTTGAGACATTTGTGTTTTATGTTACTGTTTTTAGTTTTTATAATTCTATTTATTTGTGTTTTAAGAGTTAAGATAGGGTACCATTTGTACAATTCAGGAATTATGATTTTATCATGAAAAGGGATTAAGCATTTTGTTTTACCTCAGAGTACATATTTTGGTATTGTTTTTTTCATATTGAATTAAGGCTTACGCCTCATTCCGCCTCGAGGCTTACCCCTCAAGGCATTTTGCTCCACCGCCTTGAGGCTAGTTTTCGCCTTTCAAAACCTTGACCTCCCCCGCAATTCAATTTAAGAACTTTTAAAAGCTGCTGACAACTAAATTAAGTTGGCATCATTCCATGAGTGAAATAACACATGCTACTAAAAATTAACCTTATTTCATGTTGCAACCCACATACAGGGTAACTTTTTTGTTCAAATTGAATGCGCATGGATTAAAACTGGAACAGAATACCAACACAACTTTAGAAAGAAAGTTCACAATTGATATAATTCCAAAGACATATATGTACCGCATATGATCTTTATTAGGATGACTGAAAAGCATCCTTGTTATGATGATAAGATGATTACAAATGTATCATGTTAGAGAGGGAGAGGGGGCAAACAAACAGAGATGGGGTGAGCAGTGCAGTGTGAGAAACATAAAGTTTTACCAATTTCCACCCAATTTGCATGTCCTCATAAATTGAGTAGTAAGGTGTTTCTAGGTCTTATTCAATGACTAGTCAAGAAAGATCCCTGTCACTATGTAAGATGTTAACTATGCAGGTTGCAGTTTTCCATGAAGGGGACATTTTGGCTGCAAGTAAAACAAAAATCAACTCTGAGTGGGTGTTTTTTTTCTGGTTATACTCCCTCTGTCCCCAAATAAAACTAAGTGTTTGACTTTCTGGTTATAGTCACTCTGGATTCCATATTGGATTTTTTCCTATATACTCCCATCATTCAAAAGAGATGGGCATCTGTTTGACTTTCCTTTATCAAAGTTCACAAACTGTGACCAAAGTTTGAGGAAAAATATACTCCGTACTAAAATTACCAACAACCCAGTAAAATCCCACTAAAGTAGGGTCTTGGGAGGGTATGTGATGTGTACATAGACCTTACCCCTAATCGAAAGTAGAAAGGTTGTTTCGAAGAGACACCAGCTCGAGCAACACAGAAAGCCCAGAGCACGACCAAACTAAAGTTACCATGTAAACTTATAACTTAATACCATTAGATTCATTTTGAAATAACATTTGGAATTATCATATTTTTAGATGGAGTATTATTTATCCATGTACAAAAATAGTCATTAATGGTCAAATTGTTAAATTGGAGACCATTAAAAGTCAAAAATACAAATCTTTTTGGGGCTAAGCGAGTATATTGTAAAAAGAGACTGCATATGTGTAATTTTCCCATTTAAATAGTAGTGATCACATTATACTTTGTAGCTATCAACTATGGCACGTTCAAGCCAATGCATTACAACTATTTAATTTCAGATAGATCCTAGAATGGAGCTACTATAACAATGGCATTATAGCATGATTTCTAAAAATGCATGTGAAACTGTATTATAACTATTTAATTTTAGTTAGACCCTAGAATGGAGCTACGATAACGATGGCAGTATAGCAGGATTTCAAATAAATGCATGTGACACTGGGGAATGTTTTTAAGCAAATTAAAAAATTGTACAACATGCTCAAGAATGTACTTTTCAAACTGACAACTAAGAAGAGTAAACTACTAAATTAATTGCATACCTTTCAATATTGCATTCAACCAAATTACATTGGATTCTCACTCTCTCAACCAAACTCATTAGGTAAACTAAAATTCTAATGATATCATGTTCCATGTAATGCTATAACTAAAGATTATTTTAGATTATCCGAACAGAACTCCCCTATCCATCTCAAGGTAGCATTTCATGTTTGTCAGAAAGAGCTAGCTGAGAAAGAAATGGCACGCCAAACCTGGATATTTAAAGCAGGCCGGACACGAGTAGGTTGCTCCACACCAGATAGGATGTAAAAGTCCTCGGACGCAGAATGGAAACGCTGGATATGAGCGCGCAACGCAAAGGGTCAGGTCGTGTTTTCACGCTGAGCGCCCACACGGGCGGAGTAAGGGTGGAGTGGAAGGATAGAGGCGGCGCAGACGGAAGCTCCACCCTCTTCAGGTTGGCGGAAATCAAAGTTCAGATCTTTGGAGGACTAGGGTTGGCTGTGATTTTTTACTACTTTCTAAGTCTCTAAAAAATTGACACAATTTGATTTTTTATTCAAATTGTGATTTTTTTTACTGTAAATTATGAAAAATATATATTTAGTTATAGTATATATCTAATAAAATTAAGTTTATTTTCAAATATAATTTTGACATATCAAATTATTATATTATTTAATTATTTTAAATTATATTTAATTCATAGTCAAAAGATGTCATAATTTGACCAACAAGTCAAATTATGTCAATCTTTTAGGCACGGAGAGACTATTTTTCAATTGCTCATTTTTCCCTGTTGCCCAGCATTTTAAGCTTGTGTTTTCTTCACTTGATCTAATTGAAATAAGTTCTTATCTGATCCAAATGTTATTACATTCAAAGTTATTTTTGATCTAATCTGGTCTCATATGATTCCAATAAGAAAAAAGTAATAAGTAATAATAAGAAGTTGAGAAAAATATGGCCTAATACTCCATATTTTTCATTTGATTTGGGCACGAACAATTTTGACTAGACCTCTTAATCAGATCAATCGGTTTAATTTGTGTTCAATTTGGGTATGAGTATAATCTGTATCTTTAGAGCATGGAAGTTGCTTGCAGATGGTTATTAAAAAAGACATAGTTGTTTCATTAAGCAACTCTGTTGAAAAATGAACCAAGACACATGTATCCCACATAAATTCCACACCAACTCTTTTAGTTGAAGTAATTTCTTAAGCATCTTGCACTAAAGATCCTTTTATACTTTTTGCCTACGATTTTTTTTTGCACTTAGACTTTTTTCAGTGAGAATTTGTAAGCTTTGATTTTGATATGTGAAAGAAATATAACATAGTATGGTAATAGAGGATTGGAAGCAGACGTTATTGATACGACAAAGCATGATAGAGGAAGCTTCGAGTGCTTCTGGACTCCAGAACAAGGAGGCGAAGAGGATAAGAAAACTCGCCGGCGCGGTTTGGCTTGGGTGGCTAAAGACAACAAAGATAATTTTTAGGGTTTTCTAATGTTTCTTGTTATTTCTTCTCAAAGGCTAAGCATGTTCCCTCGAAAGAGCTTATAATACGCTCACCTAATAAAATCTACGCACAAGAAATAATGTAATCACGTTGCCACGTCGGGGTTTTCTTGACCCGAACGCTCTTCCGTTCTCTACGTCCCGTGTCCTCCCATTCTCCCTCCTTGTGATCCGTCCGTTGCTCCCTTCCTTGCTTTTGCCCGAACACCTCATCATCCACAGCCGGCCGATCACTCGATTCACGTGTATCATTCCCCCCAATTCAGAAAGCACCTCATCCGCGAGGTGGAAATCAAGAAAGCAACGTGCTAACATATGAACAAGCTCCCATGTGGCTTCAGTGCTCCACCATCAGACCACTCGACCAATGCCTGATGCTCCGGGCGTCCCTCTACTATAGTCGTACGTGTGGCAAGAATACAGATGGGCTTCGATAATGATCGACCGTCCACATAATCTTCCGGCATGGGCCTTGGGGTAGCAGCACCGAAATCCCCTTTGAATGGGAGGAGCAATGGCCTCGACACGATCCTGAATCTGAAACAGTCCATAAAAACGATACGCCAATTCCTGATTTTTGCATCATGCTACTGAGTGTTGTCTATACGGCTATAGCTTGAGCCAAACCCAATCTCCCACGGCATAATTGACCTCCCGGCGGTGCCCATTAGCGATTGCTTGCATGTGAGATTGTGCCTCAGCCAAATGTTCCTAGAGACATTGCAAGAGGTGGGTGCGTTCTGTCAAAAGGTCATCCACTGCTGGAACTGTGTTGTCACCCTTAGAATATGGCAGAATTGAAGGTGGTTCCCGTCCATAAAGAGCCTGAAATGGAGACATCTACAGCCCGGAATGATAGCTCGTGTTGAGGGCGAACTCCGCCCAGGGAAGAAAGACTATTCAGCGGTGTGGTTTGTCGGTCGCATATGCACGTAGATATTATTCTATGCTTCGGTTCATGACCTCCGTCTAACCATCGGATTTTGGGTGAAAGGTTGTGCTCATCTTCAATGTCGTCCCACTTAACCGCAATGCTTGTTGCCATAAATTACTCATGAACACCCTATCGCGATCTAACACGATACTCTTTGGAAAACCATGGTGTTTCACCACGATCTGCACAAATAAGTCAGCTACCTTTGGGGCATCAAAATCAGCTGGTAAAGGGCCCAAATGGATGTATTTGGAAAGCCGATCAACGACAACGAAGATGACAGTGAACTCACAAAATGCTGGCAATCCGGTGATGAAATTCATTGATATATCGTCCCATACCTAGGAAGGGATGGGAAGTGGTTGAAGAAGACCGGCAAGGGGTTGTGTCGAATACTTTATGACTTGACATGTGAAACACTTTGCAATGCATTCGTGTACATCCCGCTGCATGCCCATTTAGTAGAAAACCATACCTAATCTTTGAAAAGTGTGCTAGACGCCCGGGTGGCCTACCAAACGAGCGTCATGATACTCCCGTAGGAGGATTTCGCGGAGAGGGGAGCTGCGTCCAATGCATAACTGCCGTCTGTAGAAAAGTAAGCCGTCGGAGATGGAGTAATCTGCTGCCTTCCCTCTGTCGCTGCAGGATGCAACTAATAGAGATCTTCTTTGGTAGTATTCCCGTGCCGAATGTCTACCATAATCACTGGTACCGGCTGTGAAAAGGGGAAGAACGTGGTGAAGGTGTCATCCATAGAGTCACGCTGGGACAGTGCATCGGCCACCCGATTCGAGGCTCTGGCTTTATACTCAATCTTAAATCTGAAACCCATTAATTTCCTCAAGTAGTATGGTTGGTCCGGAGTCTGTACCACTTGATGAAGAAGTTCGCGAAGACTCCGTTGGTCGGTCCGAATTAGAAATTCCCTTCCGAGTAGGTATTGGTCCCATTTATTGACGGATTCCACAATAGCAAATAGTTTCTTATGGTACGTTGAGGCGGACATTTTGCGGGGACCTAATTTCTTGATAAAATAGGCAACTGGTTGTTCCGCCTGTAGCAAGACTACCCCGATTTGCATGGCACATGCGTCGGTCATGATGATGAACATAACCGAGAAGTTTGGAAGGCAAAGGACGGGGGTGGACACCATGGCTTGTTTGAGAGCTGCGAATGCAGCGTCTGCATCGGGTGACCACTGGAAAGCCTCCCTCTTCAGTAAGTCAATAAGGGGTGCGGCAATGTGAGAGTAGTGGCGGACAAAGCGGTGGTAATAACTGGTTAACCCCAAAAAAACGCGTAATTGTTTAACCATTGACGGCTTGGGCCACTCCGACATGGCTTCAATCTTAGAAGGGTCTGCACGTAACTCCCATGCAGCTATGATGTGGCCGAGGTATGCAATGGCCACCTGCCCGAAGGAACATTTTGACTTTTTGATAAAAAAAACGTGGGCCTGTAATGTGGATAGAACCGTGCGCAGGTGGCCTTCATGGGATTCTATCTTCGAGCTATAAATTAATATATCATCAAAGAAAACCAAAACAAACTTCCGTAAGAACGGTGTGAAGAGTTGATTCATACAAGCTTGAAATGTAGACGGGGCATTGGTGAGCCCGAAGGGCATGACAAGGAACTCGTAGTGACCCTCGTGAGTGCGAAATGCCATATTGTAAATGTCCTTATCTGCCATACGAATTTGATGTACCCAGACCTCAAATCCAGTTTCGTAAAATAGCGAGCCTGGTCAAGTTCATCGAGTAGTTTGTCAGCCGTGGGTGTGGGAAAGTGGTTGGGTATGGTGAGTGCGTTGAGACCCTTATAATCCACACAAAATCAGAATGTTCCGTCCTTCTTTTTAACCAAAAGGACCGGTGACAAGTAGGGACTACGACTCGGCCGTATGATTCCTTGCGTCAACATCTCTTAAACCAATCGCTCCATCTCGCCCTTCTGATAATATGGATATCTGTAAGGCCGGACGTTGACGGGTGGGCTCCCATATTGGAGGAAGATCTTGTGATCCGTGACCCGGTGTGGGGGTAGGGCGTGAGGCAGCTCAAAGAGGCCAACATACTCAACCAACAATGCTGCGATCTCGGGCGGCACACTGTCCTCTTGGTCTAGTTGTGGGTCGTCCAGCGTTGGTAGTGGTATGAGCTCGTAGTACTCCACGAGATGGTGGTTGTCATGCAGCGTCTTAAACATAGAAAAGGAGACCGGTTTCAGCGTGGTATCGCCTTTGAGCTGGATGGTTTGACCCTCCCATGTAAATTCCAAGGTCAACTCAGCGTAATCTTGCGCCACTTTACCCAACTGTTGTAACCATTGCACTCCCAAAATGATATCCTGGTCGTGAATATGTAAAACAAAGAGATCCACCGAAAAAATGTGGGTTTGCATCAAGAGAAGAACCCCCAAACACTGTGGCGAACATGGCATAGCATCCCCATTGCCGACATAAACGCGAAAGGGTGTGACTGCTCGAAGGGAAAGTTGGAGTCGCGCCACGATTTCGGGGTGGATAAAATTATGAGTACTCCCGCCGTCAATAAGAACACGAACCTCCTGACTCCCAACACGACCGAACAACCATAGGGACCGAGGGGCTGGATGTCGGACATATTATTGAGGCTTGAGATCTCCGCGCCAACCACCATGGGTTCTTGTTCGTTTCCGTCCAGTGGTTCATCGTCGTCGTCCCCACAAAGGAGCAAAAAATGCTCACACTTATGCGTACGTGACCATTTTTTGCCACAGTTCTAGCACAAGCCCTTGGCTTCCTTCTCGGCTTGTGTTAAGCGACATACTGCCCCCGAAATTCGGTTCGAGGTGCTCTTCGCAAGAGTGGGCAGCAGTGGCGTCATTGAAGCTGGACGTAAGCCCATATGAGGGCCTCGTGAATGCAAGACCGGACCGCCAAAGGAAGGCCGCGACGGGACAGATTGTAGTAGAGCGGTATGCTTCGCTTCGAGTTCATGGGCCAACACGAAGGATGCCGAAAGACTCTCCGGTTTTAAGAGGGCAATCTCTTGATGCAAGTGATGCTTAAGTCCTGCATGAAAAGGAGAGATCAACAGCTCCTCATTTGCCCCTGTGACGTGTTGTAACACTCTTTCAAATTCATCCTGGTATGCCATGACCGTACCGGTTTGGCAAATCTTTGTTATTTGGCAAAAGTAATCCATATATTGATTTGGATAAAAATGTTGCTTGAATTTGGTAAGAAAATCCTCTCAACCTTGAATCATGTTTTTTTTCATCCGCCAACGAAACCAGTCCACTGCCAGTGCATCCAACATTAGAGCAACACACCGTAGTTGTTCATCCGGCGAGGTGTCGTAAAAATCAAAATACTGGGTTACCTTATAAATCCAACAAAGAGTGAAACTCAATGAAGGCACCAAATTGATAGACATGGTGGTGAAACTCAATGAAGGCATGGTTGTGAAACTCAATGAAGGCACCAAATTGATACGACAAAGCGTGATTGTAACACCCTTCGTCCTGCGAACCCGGTTCGTCGTGGCCCAACGAGCCGGAGGGGTTACGTAGACGGTTTTTAGGACCATCTACAGGAAAACCCTTGTGCTACTTTTGTAATTGAAAACCCTTGATATATTTTATTGAATGCTGGGAATAAATTCCCATAAAGGAAACGTTTCATAACGAAAGTAAATGTAAGTAATAAACGTTAAGTCTTAAATAAAGAAAGTGCAACAATGGTGGGTTCAAGCCCAAAACAGTTATATTATGAAATTGAGAATAAGTCGAGTCCACATTGTCGCCTATCCACCGCCCCGATCTCCCAATCATCCAGGTCAGGCTCCATAATCATTCCCCCTACCTGCGTATAGCAAAAACAAAGCTATACGCTCAGCATAAGCTGAGTGGTAATCTAACATGAGAACGCATAGTACATTCACATGGATATAAACATAATTGTACCTTTACTAAAGTACGAGATACCACATACATGAACAATGATAAACGATGCAATGCCAAATAAACCATGATGCATGAGTTAGACTATGCAGGGACACCCCTACCCTTCGGTGATCATCCCCATGTGGTAGATGAGTCGAGGAACGTCTTAGTCTTCCTAAAGAAGACTAGATACTGTGGGTGGTAACTGAAGCCTAGTTACCATGTACGTACACAAGCCCTTCTGATGAAACCCGTTGGATCCCGAAGGCTCCTGGGCGGGCTCGCGGAAGAGGCACACTAGGCTTGACCTCTTGTCGCGGTATGCAAAGTATGCCATGGTCCTCAACTCACGTCTAGGATATACATGATGATATGAATGCATTGCTTGAAAATAAAGTTAAGTTCAACACATACATATAGGTTGATTCCGTATGAAAATGTTTCGTTTCTCAACATGATGGCTTTGGGTTCAGAACTAGCTGATAATCGATTGTGCATTGTTGATAATCGGTTATCACGCTTTGCAGCTTCTGTTCCCAAAGTTCTGCAGCCTCTAATAGTCGGTTGTCTCAAGGCGACAATCGATTGTCGAGTTGGTTTGTCCAGAAATCCTATGTTCAGAGAGGACTTATAATCGATTATTCGTTTGTGATAATCGATTATAAAGTGAACTAACTATGACTCAAGAACCTCAGGGTCTGATAATCGATTATCACATATGCGATAATCGACTATCACACTTTGCTGGATCATCTGAGAAGTCCAGTGTGGCCTGATAGTCGATTATTCTGTTATGTAAATCGATTATCAAGGCACGCTGATTCCCATTTTGTCTTTTTAATTATAATCAATACGTTGGAAGTTTTTGAAATGAACATTTATGTTTTCCTATTAAGTAATCTATGAATTTACCGAGTTTCAAAATGTTTATATTAACAAGTTCGTAATCAAAAGGTCTGAATAACAAAAAGCCATGATAATGCAGACACACATAGGTTTAGCCGGGTAACCCTATTATTATAACGATGTGATTGAACAAAAAATTCTAAAGTTAGAGAGCAACGTACTCACCTCTAACGCAGGGGTTGTCGGAACGGGAAAATGGATGAACAAACGGATGACGACGAATGGACGAACAAACAGATGACTTCTCACGTGCACTTCCTTCTCTTCTATCTCCTCGTTTACTCGCCGGAACTTCTCCTTAATGTGCTGCTGTGTGGCCGAAACAAGAGAAGGAAGAGGAAGGAAGAATGTGTGAGGTTGATGGGGGTTACAAAATGGGTGAGGGGAATGAAGGGTGAAAGGGTTTATTATAATGTCAAGGAATGATGGAGAATTTATGGGCAATGAAGGTGAGTGAGTGTGTGTGGCGTGGGAGTTGAAGGGATTAAATGGGGAGTTATCTCCCTAAATTCTACTCCGTTTTGTAAAATCTGACCTGAACGGTATGCGTTTCCCCCCTGAATGGGTCTGAATTGAGAACTGTTTGCGTTTCTAGAATCAGACAATCAAGAAAAATATTATGATATGATCAAATAATTTTTCTAAGGATTTTATTTTCCTGACCCCGGTGTGAGTTAGTAATTAATGAATTAAATTAATCAATTCTAATAGACCAGGTCTCAGGGTGTTACAGTGATAGAGGAAGCTTTGAGTGCTTCCGGACTCCAGAACAAGGAGGCGAAGAGGAGAAGAAAGCTCACCGGCGCGGTTTGGCTTTGGCAGCTAAAGACAACGAAGAGAACTTTTAGGGTTTTCTAATTTTTCTTGTTATTCTTTCTCAAAGGCTAATCATGTGTTTAAATTATAAACCCTAACCCTAATTCTAACGTGACGGTTCAAAAAAAGCGACGAGGTAAAGAACCGTAAAAAACCCTCGAATGAGCTTTTAATATGCTCACCTAATAAAATCTACGTACAAGAAATAATATAATTCAAATAATATAATCGCGTTGCCACGTCGGGGTTTTCTTGACCTAAACGCTCTTTTGTTCTCTACGTCCCGTGTCTTCCCGTTCTCCCTCCTCGTGATCCGTCCGCTGCTCCCTTCCTTGGTCTTTCCTGAACACCTCATCATCCACAGCCAGTCGATCACTCGATTCACATGTATCATGTATTTTCTTATGTTTCAGTTTTGTTCGTAAGTCGTGAGCGTAATGTTATTGCACACTTACACACATGCTTGTGTGTAGTACTTTATCTCATTGTAGTGTTTGGGATTGTCCCCAACATTGTTTCTCGGAGGTTCCTTTGGTGCCATTTCAAAATTGAGTGTTTTGAAACACTCCACATGTGCTCCATTAAGAAATAGACATGCGGAAACAGTATTCCAAATCAAATTATTCTTTTTTATTACAATTGGCCCCAAACCTAAATTGAATTATGTTTCTTTCCTTCATGGCAATCTCCCGTTAAGTGTTTTTACAGAATCTCGTCTCCATCTCCTGGCCAGCGTCTCCAATTCTTGAAGTAGTCGTCGTCGCCTTCATCATTCAGAGTCGTGCGACAAAGAAATAACAACACCATATAGGGATTTGCCCCTTTCGTCAAATTTCCGCTCAGGTTCCCTTCCGTCAATTTTTCATCTATTAATTGCAATTCTTGTGAGACTTTGTAACACAATACTGTAATAGTTATATCTGAACATATTTGGACACACTATAGCAATAATAACTGATTAAATTTTAATGTGGTTGTTGTATTTCTATTAATGCAATGTCTTCTATTATTTAACAATAAGTGTTTTTTGAATTTTTTTAAAAAATTATTTTAATTTAGTAACTTTAATTTTATTTAATTTATATTAATATCTCTTCTCTGAGCGATGACGGCGAGGAAAAAAGGACGACCGCGGAAGAAGAAACGATCGGCTCCGGCCGCTCCGTAGCAGAAGCTGAACAAGGAAGGTATAGGATCAGCTTGTGTGGGTGATACGCCATCAGGTAAGGACGCAACACCTTGTTCTGGATTGGGATCTGTGGGATCGAAACAAACCCTAGGTTCATCTTCTGGTAAATCGAAAGTAGGGGAGGTGGAGAATGGAAAGATAAAGGAACAATTGGTTTTAGATAATGAAAATAAGGGCGCTGGGGGCAATAAGGAAGGGGAACAGAAGAAGTCCTTTGCGGAAGTGGTTGGAATGAAAGAGGAGTTTGAATATGAATTGAAATATGTTCCTACTGAGGTAGTTGATGGTGTGACAGTGGCTAGACTTACTGCAGAGGATGTGATTGATACTGGGATTATTGGGATGCATCAATTGTCTGTTGTGTGTTGGGAGCAAACCCCCCTCTCAAGGTTATGGAAGGATTCCTGCGTAGAATATGGAAGGATTACAAGATTGAGGATATAACCACATTAAGAGATGGACAATTTGTGGTTCAATTTGGAAAAGTTGAGGAAAGAGATGAAATCAGTAAGAAGAAGTATTACTTCATGGACAATAAGCCAATGCTAGTCCATAAATGGAAGCCTGGTGGGAAGATAAACTTGGAGGAGCTGTCAGATATTCCAATATGGGTGCGTATACCTGATCTAGACCTCAAATATTAGAGCTCATCAGGGTTGAGCAAAATTGGGAGCATAATAGGCAAACCAGTTCGAAGAGACAAGGCTACTGCCACCAAATCTAAGCTGGAATTTGCCAGAATCCAGCTGGAGGTGGGTATCCAGCAAAGCTTCCTAGATAAAGTAATGTTTATTGCGGAGGAAGGTGGGGTGATTACCCAGAAAGTTGAATATGATTGGTGCCCAATAAGATGTGGGCAATGTAAAAAACAAGGTCATGCTAGTGAGTGTTACACGAAAATTGAGGGGCCCCAACCTCAACAAAAGAAAATAATGGTTTGGAGGCCAAAGCAAACCCAGAATAGGGACAATGGGGAAGAGAAAGGAAAGGAACTAGCACATACAAACAAAGGGGATGAACAGACCGAGGATGAAGAAGGATTTCAAAGGGTTGATGCCAAGAAAAGTGCCAAAAGGGGGCATTTGTTTGAGAAGCAATTTGTAGGGGGGATAAATAGGATTTTTTATGATTCCCCATATGAGGGGCATTATCCTTTTCTTACATGATAGGAAGCTGGAATATTAGGGGCTTGAATAGCCCTAATAAACAAATAGAAATAAGGAGTTTTATTAGTAGGTATAAAATAAGTTTATGGGCTATTTTTGAGACAAAAATAAGGGAGAATAAATTCCAAGAGGTGGAGAGGAAGGTTGTGGGGGACTGGAAGTCGTTAACAAATCATCAAGAACATTATTTGGGGAGAATTTGGGTTACTTGGGATCCACGGAAATTCCAAAACAAGTTAGTAAAGCAAATTGATCAATTAATTCACTGTGATGTAAGGAGGATAGGGGAGAAGGATAACTGGGAGATTACTTTTGTGTATGCTCATAATGAGGCTACTAAGAGGGAACTTCTATCGAATGATTTAAGAGGTATAAAGAGCAATATCGGGGATGCTTGGGCTATTATAGGGGATTTAACAGCATTCTTAAAATGGAGGACAGAATTGGAGGCCATCTAGTGGGCTAGGAAGAGATCAGAGAATTCAAGCAGTGTGTGGAACAGTGTGGGTTAGAAGAAATGCCAATAGAAGTGTAACACCCCAACCCGCATGACCCAAACCCGTGAGACAGCGGACCGGTGTGCTACTGAATTGGTATCCAAATTTGCGACATTTTCAAAACAAATTTTAAACAAACGTTCTATCAATACATATAAAAATTCATCGGAGTAATTTAAAATAATGCGGAAGCCTTTTTAAAGTCAAACAACTTGGGATCTTGCCCGAAAACGTAATAAGCATTAAAGTTAATCAAATAAAACATAATCAACAGATTAAAGAGACAGCCACGCCATCGTACATCTCCTCCTCAATGCCCTCTGGGATCGGCTCTAGGTTCATCTGTCTGATCACCTACGGACAGCAAAAGAAAACAACGCTATCCGCTCAGCATTGACGCTGAGTGGTACTCCATTGTAGCACAAGAATAAATATAATAATTCAACAATTAAGATCGTGCATATGTTTATCCTTTTAATAAAAATCAATTCAACTTTACACTTGGTTCTTTAGACGGTTGACCAACAGTCAACTTATTTTCTTTCTTTTCAAAACGATTTAGGTGTTACGGGTTTCCCATTGACTCTTTGACCACCGGTCAAACCAATTTAGACTTTTACCAAAGTCAAACCAATTTAACATTTATTCCCTATGTCGGAGATAGCCTCAATC